AAGTCAGAGATTCTCAATAAGCTTCTGAGCAATTCTCAGCAGTACCATGACACCTTTGTTCACCACAACATGGAGTGTGGTGACAGTCCAAGAAGAATATCCAACGGACTGACTGAAATTACTTGGTATCTTCCTTGTGGAAACACAAACATTGATATTTTCAGTGAGCCAGTGGCTGTAGCTAACCTTCGTGGGGACATTGAATCTTTTGAAACACAATACTCCTTTCTGTGTCAGACATCTGCAGCAGTTTTTGTGTTCTTCGGCGATTTGGATGAGTCTGAGCTCAGTCTACTCGCTAACATAAACCAAAAGACACAGATCTTCTTGGTTGGTAATGGTGAAAGTAATAACGAGGTTTTAAGAACAGTAGCAAACAAATTGGGCTTGAGTAACAACAACATCATAACTAAGAAGAAACAGAAAAATGATGCAGATTTTGTACAAACTTTGAGAAAAAAAGTCAGAGATGTGGTGAGAAACTCAAAGATTAAGATGACAATAGAGCAGATGGCAGACATTGCCTATAAGCTGGGAATCCTGGTTGATGAAGACTCTCCAGAGTGCCAGACTGCAAAGACAAATGCAGAAGCCATCACTGCAGAAATTCAAGACATCCATAAATACAAAGAAGATCAGCTTCCACGGCAAGGTGAAATATGGAAAGAACTGACCTGCTTAGAGAAGGAAGAATTTCGACTTCAACATATCGGGTCTAGAAATATTGAAGATTACAGAAGCGAACTTCTGTTACAGAAAAAAGAACTGCGGAAAAAGCAGAACTCTTATAACATGTCAACAGCTATGACATGCTTCATCAATGCAATATCAAGCCCAGGAACAGAGAGGTTTTATTTCCTGAAATTGATGCAAATGAACCTCGATAACCTGTCTCATGTAAAATTGTCTGAACTTCAAGAGAAATATAAAGAAAAATGTAAAAACTCTGAGAACAAAGAGGAGATCAAGGAAATTGACAGACAAATTTCCAACAGCTCACTGGGGACTGAACACTTCTTCCGTGAAATGGGTCAGCTCTATGAAGCTTCACTGTCCCTTCCACAAACAGATCCAGCACATCAACAGCTGCAGCATCTGCCCAAACTGTGTGCAGAGTTGTTGCTTGATGGATTTCCTCTTGAGCTTGTAGATGGAGATGCATCCAACATCCCTCTCAGATGGGTGAGTGATGTTCTCTCTCAGCTCAGTGACTTGGTGTCTCCAAACAGAAAGATACTGGTAGTCACAGTTATTGGAGTTCAGGGCACAGGAAAGTCCACTCTCCTTAACACCATGTTTGGAGTGCAGTTTGCAGTCAGCAGTGGTCGATGTACTCGAGGTGCCTTTATGTCGCTCATCAAAATCAATGAAGACATGAAAAAAGTCCTAAACTGTGACTTCATGCTGATCATTGACACTGAGGGCTTAAAGTCACCAGAACTTGCGCAACTAGACAACAGCTATGAGCACGACAATGAGCTTGCTACACTTGTTATAGGGCTGAGTGACGTCACCATTGTCAATATTGCAATGGAGAATTCAACTGAAATGAAGGACATCCTACAAATAGTTGTGCATGCTTTTCTCAGGATGAAGGAGGTGGGCAAAAAGCCTAAATGTGTGTTTGTTCACCAGAATGTGTCCGATGTTTCAGCCCATGAGAAGAACTCACAAGACAGGAAACTGCTCCTGGAACAGTTAAATGAGATGACCCAGGCAGCAGCCAAAATGGAAAAGAAAGAGGAGAACAAGAGCTTCACTGATGTGATGGAGTACAACCCTGACACTGGGAACTGGTACATTCCTGGACTCTGGAATGGAAACCCACCAATGGCACCAGTCAGTGCAGGATACAGTGAGGCTGTATATGAGCTCAAGAAACACATCATCCAACTGCTGGGAAACTGTGAGTCATCGGCCAAGGATATGTTGGATTTTAAAGAGTGGATGTCAAACCTATGGAATGCAGTAAAGCATGAAAGCTTCATCTTCAGCTTCAGAAACAATCTCGTAGCTGATTTATACATGAGACTCTGCACAGAATTCAACAAATGGGAGTGGGAATTCAAAAAAGAGATGTACACCTTTGTAACAAACGCAGAAAGAAAAATTTCCAATTTTGGTAAAGTTGCTATAAAATCTGAATCTTCTGACATCAATGAATTTCTCAAACGTTTGAAAATTGAAGCCTCCACACTGCTGTCCACATGGGAGACAAGACTTCTAGAAAATCTGAGACAATATTTTAAGAAAACAGACGGTCATGTTCATCTTGTCGAAGGATATAAAGAGGAATTCTCAAGCAATGTAAAGAGCCTTCGGCGTGAAATGGAAAGGAGTGTTTTTAATCAGCTCACAGCAGCAGCAGAAATCACACAGGAAATGATAGAAATTGATCGAATCAAAGAGAATCACATAAAAGAGATTGAAAATGCAGTTTGGGGACTGATTAATGAGTGTTGGAAAAATAATGTTACGATGGGAGAGACAGAACTTGAAAATAAGTTTCTCAAGATGTGGTGTGAAACACTGAAGAAACTTCCTTGTTCTGAAAAGCAAGCTGAGCAAATCTTTACCAATGCATCATCTTATCTGAGAGAAAGCCTGAAACATAAAGGGGAAGCTTCACTTGAACTCCTAGAAAAAAGGCTGGAAGATTGTGGTTTGGTACCTTTCAGATATACAGCTGAAAGATACTCAAATAGAGTTGAGGAAGTAGGTATGTTTTTTGACATTCAAGATTACATAATGGCTGCACAAAAACTGGCTGACAGCATCATAGATGTTTGCACTCAGTTTGTGAGAGAAAAAGTGAGAAGGAAAAAAATGTACTGTGACACATACATCAAGGAGATCCTACACATCACTGATGAGAACCTTGAGAAAAACCAAGAGGTCAAGGCAGACATTATGTTTGAAGTTTTTCTAAAACAGCACGTCTGTGGAATTGCAGCCAGAGAGTTTAAGAAAGTGCATGAAGAAAATGACCCCTACAGATGTTTGATTAAGAACAAGGACAGGTTTTGTGATGATTTCAAACATGTGGTTAATAAAGAAGACCAATGTCAAAAGAAAGCAGAAGAATTCACCAACCAGTGCTTGAAGCCTGCTGTTGAAGACTTTATCAATCAGTCCCTGGGTCCTAAAATCATTGATAAAATGCAGACATGTGAGCAGTTCAGCAATCGAATGTCCTTCCAGTATTCAGTTTTACTGGATTTACTTTCAAAGGATGATTTTCAAAACTACCAGAGATATATTTTCTCATATCAGGATTATGTAAAGACATGGCTACTCAACCAAATACTGGAGCACTTCTCAACTGTGTCAACAACATCTGAGTTTGAGGACAGACATCTCCAGTCATGTATCAGAACCATAAAAGATGGCATCAACAAGGCAAAAACAAGAAAGAGTGATAATGTGAAGACATTTGTTGAAGATATTTGTAAAGAACTTGGTGATAAACTGGTAATTTCCCAGGATGCTCTTGGTGCTTTCATGTTTTTGAACAATGCTGACAAGAAACAGTTTGCTGACTGGCTCACAGTGTCTGTGAATGAGATGGAACAAGTTCTGAGAAAAGAGTTTCAGACACTGAACTTTGAAGTGAAACTACAGCAGCTCCATGTGCAGCCTGAGAATGAGCTTTTCAACAAACTGGTTGGTTGTGGCAAACAGTGTCCATTCTGCAAAGTTGTCTGTGATGCAGGAGGAGGAAAACATACTGAGCATTTTGCTGCAGTGCATAGGCCACAGGGTCTGGGTAAATACACTTGGCATGTAACAAACAAACTTGTCACTGACATATGCTCTTCCTCTGTCATCAGTGAGCAGTGTTTTAGCTGCATTGATACAAATGGTAGATGGCACCCTTACAAGAATTACAATGAAATTTACCCAGACTGGAAAATCCCTCCAGATTCGAGCCTTGAGGCATCAGACTACTGGAAATATGTAATGGCAAAGTATAACACAGATCTTGCCAAAGAATATAATGCAAACCCTGCTGATATTCCTGAAAGTTGGAATGACATCACAAAAGAGCAGGCAGAAAAAAGCCTCAAGAAATCATTTAACATCAAGTAACAACTTACCTTCTCATTTTTGTTCTTGTGTACAGAAGAACACATCCCAGATATTGTAATTTTTGTTTTTGTGAGATAGAGAGAAAAACTAGTATTTCATAAGACAAACCTTAAAATATTTTAACACCCACATACATATTAAACAATATGATTTAAAGCAAGTTTTTTAAAGAAGTTTTTGGTTACTTTTACCTCTGTTTGAAAAATAATCTGCTCACAGGTTTTTTGCACTTTTAAGTAATTAATTCAAGTAATTATATTAAAACTAAATTTTTTTTTAACACTAATCATTAGCTCATGTACATTCGCACATGCATATGAACATCCCTTTGCTTTGTTTCAGATAGTCACTATGTGTGTTATAGATGACTCGGTCTCCATTCTTTTAATGGGACAGTCAAAATGAAAAAGCTAACAGTGCTGTATCTGGGGGATCTGATGTAAAATATTTTCATGTTTGAGGTTTTTGAAGCAAATCTGAGTATATGCTAAATATTTGACTTTGTTATTCTGTATTTAAAATTATCTTTTCCTGCTCTGACATATGTAATCTTATATGTATCTATATGTATTTTTTAAACGTTTTAATGGAACATTCATTCTATATCTGGCATGATCTGCAGAGTTAAACTTCGGTCAGTGTTAAGTTAAAATGACCTCAGTGATGTGGATTTAAAATTGTCTTTCTGTCCATAGAATGTTAATCAACAGGTCTTGAAATTATGCTAGTGATGTATTATTGCCTTCATTTTTAATGTGTTGGGAGAATTAAATTAATTAATTCAGACAAACTGTGTGGCCAAAGACTCATTAGTGTTTCCACATTTGTCTGATCCAGTCCACTGAGATGGGTCTGAATATAGGCTTGGTTGAACCCCAAAAGAGACTGCTCAAAGCTTCCTGATGAGAGTTTTAGATCTAAAGCAGAAAGTCTTATCTGCTTCCCAAGAATCAGAGTCAGGACTCAAATATGACCCAGCTTTTGTCCAGCGTATATGTTTGCACACCATACTCACAGGCTTCCAGAGTGACAGTGTCAGGATAGATATGCAGCCACTCCTGTTAGACTCTAAGACACCTGATGAACTCCTGTTAGAGAGGTTAAATATGGCTTGTGCCAATGAGGCAGAAAGGAAAAACAAGAGTACAGTACCACTGTCGCCAGCTCAGGAAGGGCAGAGCAGACCCGGCCCCACTTTACATTCACGGGAGCTGTGTGGAGAGGGTACACTCCATGAGGTTTCTGGGCGTGCAGATATCTGATGACCTCTCCTGGACTGCAAATACTACAGCGGTGGTTAAAAAGGCCCAGCAGCGTCTCCACTTTCTGAGAGTGCTCAGGAGGAACAACCTGGAGGAGAGGCTGCTGGTGACATTTTATAGAGCCACCATAGAGAGCATCCTAACGTACGGCATAACAACATGGTATGCAGGGTGCTCAGCTGCGGACAGGAAAGTACTGCAGAGGGTCATCAACACAGCCCAGAAGATCACTGGCTGCTCTCTGCCCAGGTCACTGCAAACTCTCGGTACCTCAGCAGAGCTGGCAATATCATCAAGGACCACTCTCACCCCAGCAACCAACTGTTTGAACTACTACAACCAGGCCGACGGTACAGGTCACATAAAACCAGGACAAACAGATTCAGGGATAGCTTCTTTCCCAGAGCTATCACCGTAGTAAATAAGCACAAAAACAATTGAACCTATTCCATACCGTCACTGTCATTATATTAATGCTGCTATCCTGTATATATTGTACATACTATTGTTTGAGTACTTACGATTGTTTTTTTGTACTTTTTATATTTTACATTTATATTTATTATTGAAACTTGCACCAAGGGAGTGGCACTCCAATTTCGTTGTACTCTGTACAATGACAATAAAGGCTATTCTATTCTATTCTATTCATGTAAATTCCCCTCACAAAGTCACATCTCTGGTGGGCAGGCAATGTCTGGTTGAGTGTCTCCTGGACGGCCACAGGCTTCAAGCTCTATGGGACTCAGGCTCACAGGTATCAATCATCGATGAGAAGTGGAAAAAGGACTATCTGCCACACACAGAGCTGAGAGATGTAGCAGATATTATGGATACATCTGAACTCACCCTGACCGCAGCAAATGGGACCAACATGCCATATCTTGGGTGGGTTGAGACAACCTTCCAACTTGTTTCCGGAACGGAACAAACTGAGAAATTGACCATCCCCATGTTGGTAATGAAAGGTTTTCAGCTCACACGCCCTATTATAGGCT